CAAGCTCCTCTGCCAGCTCCCTCAGTACTCTTGGGTGGATGATGGAGGCAAAATGGTTAAAAGTGGGGATAGGAGAGAGTCGACACTGAAGTCCTTCCTTTTGCATTGTCCCCCTCTCCAAGGGTGGATATCAGATAAAAATGCTGATCTGCTGCTCGGTTTGGGCAAAGGTGAAGCAATAGCTGTTTCTGCTCATTTGACCCTCAGGCAAAGATGTCACAGGGGAGGCAGAGCCAGCCCAAGCCCCTCACGGCATCAGGGAGTGACCTGGGTTTTATCCGCCCTTTGCATCAGGGCTCCGGCAGCGCCCTGACTCCTCCTGCCCCAGCACTGCCTGCCGACCCACACCTGCAGCCCTTTTGCAACACCCTGCGCCATGGCAGGCCCTTAACCCTTCCCTACGCCTGGAAACACCATCGCAGCGATGCATCCTCTTCATGGTGGCTTGGACGTGCCTGCGGGTGTCGGAGCAGGGCTCTGAGGTGGTGGGTTTCCCTAAGAGAAGCAGGTCTACTTTAGATGGGACAGACCCCGGATGTCCCTGGGTTCCTGAAATTATTGGATGAAGAGGGAGCAACTGTGGCTGCGTAGTCTGTGCTGCTGAGGGTGTCTGGAGAGGGCTGGAAGTTTTGGGAGCTGTGGAGGGGTGAAGAAAGGAGCAGAGCTGGGAGGAGCTATGGGTGGGGAACGTGAAGGAAAGACTGAAGTATTTTGGGGGGGTGTGGGGGAAAAGGAGGTTCAGGTCTGAGGATTCTGGGGCTTTTAACCCACCAGGCCAGGCATGAGTGGAGTAGGCTGAGCAGGACTTTTTGCTGATGAAAAACTACTGGGGAAGGGGGGACGGCAGGATTCCTTCTGGGAGGGATTGCCCGTGGGCAGCACAGCAATGAATGTTAGCCTAGGAGCACAAAGGAGTTTATCGGTGTTGATTTTCTGCCCTTTGAACTGCTAAGGACTGTGCGCTGTGAGGAATAAAGAGATTAGATCTGAATTCTGAAGAACTGTCTGTTTGTTTGTGTGTGGCTATGGGCTTGAGAAAAGCCTCTTTTAGGTAAAGAGGCCGAGTCATGCAGGCGGCTCCTGCCTTAAGTGGCTAAGCTAGATGTGATCAGGATTTTGAGGCAACTTGGAAGGGGATAGCAGGTGGCCCTCAAAAGATAAATTAAGACTGTGCTTAAATTATGCCTGGGCCTTGTTGGCATTTAAATATTGCTTAGTGGCTCCTGGAGCATAAGGCTTGATTCGTTAAGAAAAATAAAGGCTGTGGCCTCATTAAGTTGATCATGAATCACTTGTGTGGTCTTCTGCTTGTCTTGTGGGGGTGAAGGATTGCTCAGTGGCAAATGGGAGCAGAACTTTAACCCACTGTCTCTGCTGCTTGGGTTTCCAAGAAAGCATTGCGTGTTTGCGCTTTGCAAACATAATGGTTCCTACTGGCAACACAAAAACCTCAAGCAACTCTTGGGTTCTCACTTGGAGTGTCAGCAGGTTACATGAGAGTAAGTAGCAGCTTGAGTGTTTCTGTACTAGGGTTTCAGACTGATCATTGCAGAGTGGTCTGCCCCAGAGCATCTCAGTTGGGCAGAACAACTATCTCCAAGAAGCAACTCCAGCCCCTTGGTACCTAAGGCTCTGAAGGTGAGCACCAGCAAATGCTCAAACCACAGGTGTTGAGGATTATTTGCACCAAACTGTACTTTACATTGTTACTGCCTTGTACTGGGCAGGTGCACACTGAGTTTCAATGCCTATGCCTTATTTCAGTGAGCAATACCATAATAGTATAATTGCAGTCCACTAACATATGGTGTGTGCAGCCTCGCTGAAAACAAAAGCTAATGGTCACGTAAGGCAAGTTGTTTTTGGCTTTGTTGACAGGGCATTGACCGGGAGACACAAAGGCGATTGTACTGAAATGTACAGCCACTTCGTTTCTCCTCCGGAGCCTTCCTTGAAACAGTCCAAAACAAGCTTCCACAAGCCAGCCAAGTTCATATGAAATCAACAGGATGTGGAAACCTGATCTTCTTTAGGCTTTCGCTTCTTGGGAGGACACTCTAGCTTTCCTGGCGAACTTAGCTTTGGGGCATTAGTTACTGACTAAATCCTGCTGAGCGTAAGTTGCTTAAGCAGTAATTCATGTGTCACACCAGTTCAGGCACATGTCTAAGATCAGTTCATTAACACACTTCTAAAGCATGTTGAGTAGATGATCTCTGACTTCACAATATTTGAAAATACAGTTTGAATCTGCTTGTCCCAGAAAAGACTTACAAAAATAGACAAAACTACAGGGCCTCTAATGATCCACCAGGTATTGGCATTAGTGTTAATGTCCCAGCACCTGTAAAAATAGAAGAGAAGGTGCAGTCAGTTATCAAAACACTGGTGTCTTTTCAAAGGGGTTTAGTCTGTTTTGCACTTCAGATAGGCCCCTACTCCCTTCTTCTACAAAATTAATTTCCTGTTCTTACTTAGCTGCACAACATTTCTGACAGAAAACTGTCCACCTGCACAGGACAATAGTACATTCTACCCTTAAATTACAACGACTGTTCAAAATTTTGGAAGGGAGAAGAGAAAGGAACAAAGTTTCACCCATCAGGAAGTCAAATACAGATGTTGAAAACATCGTGGGATGAATTCATACTTGAAGGCTACCTCCTACCCTTGAAAATGCTGAAATGAAATTTGAGGCTTTTTCTCGGGTTGCTCAGCTGGACCTCCACTCCCACCCACGCTAGGATCCAGGCTCGCACCACAGCGGGGTGGTGGTTGGTTTGCTTGGCTGCCAGCGGTTAGGAATGAGCAGGACCCCATGGAGCAGCCTGCGTGGGGACTGCATGCTCCCCACAGCGTGCCATCTTCCCCCGCTCCACACGACTTACCCAATATTTTCATGGAGTTGCCTAGCAGTCGCCCATGCAGCCACAAACACAGTTGGGGCACCTGCGATTGGAAAAGCTAGTTACTGCTCCACAAGTTCATCCCAAAGGCAAAACAAACCCACAGTTATTCTTACTGAAAGGAGAACCAGTACCCCATCCGAGGGCGATGAACCACCAGAGGAACTTCCTTTCCAAGAAGAAAGAAATAACCAGGAGAGTGTGGAGGTACAGTCCCTCCACGAGGAGCCAGCTGTAGTTAGACATGATGCAATACTGAAAGAAGACCATGGTGAGCTTACACCCAGCCTGAGGAAAGAGAGGATAATTAGCTTCTGCCTGGGTTTGTATCTAGCTTCTAACAGAGAGTGCTGTAAATAAATCTTGGCAAATAGAGATTTTATGGCAATTAGGGGACTAAACAGGTAGCCTTGAGACAGGCATTCATATGACAAGAAAGCAGGACTGGCACTCGTAAATGCATTAATCACTGCCTCAGTAGTAAGAACCAAATGTGTCATGGACACACAGGTTTGGGTTACTGTCTCACTTAGAGGAGTTTCACTAGTATGACCTTATTAGTATCTGTAGCACTAATATCACCTTAGAGAAGCACATGAATGTATTTGTCAATCTTTTTTTCCTAAGAAAAAAGGTTGATAAAGACAAGTTAAAATTTGCTCATAATGTCAAAATGTTGTTGTTCAGCAACAAAAATCCAGCAAAACTGGGGGGATAAAACAACAAAAAAGCCTGTTTGTTTGTTTGTTTGTTTCCCTCCCTAATTCTTATATTTTGGTTTAAAGCACTGAACGTTGCCTCCAGTGCTTCCCCCCCCGTCCCTGTCCGTGTCCGCCCCCC